ATGTGTCGACTGGAATTCCTTCTCCGGTTTGAGTAAATGAAATGTGATGACACTATCCGTCGAGGGCTGATTAATAAAGGTTTGGAAAATAGAGTGGTTGTTTCATTCCCTTGCGCTGGGGCAAGGGGAGGGAGGGCCGGCCGTGGGCGGCAGAATGAGAGCCTAACTTATCTTTTAGGTTCTTTACGAAGAGGTAGAATGAGGGGACACATTACCTGATGGTATTGGCACATGCTGTAGAAGCTTCAGAAAATCCCCTGCGGGCACTGCAACCTCATTTACCACCAACAGACTGGCGGGTCTCCACCTAGGGTTCTCGTAAGAGATTCCCAGTCTATGCCTTGTTTTCTCAGTCACCAGATCCTATGATGAGGGGAAGCTCAAAAAAGCTCTGATGGCAAAAAGCCTTCCCACTCAAAAAGGTTGAGAATGACACAGACAGACAGATTTCCTACCTTCCTCAGTTTACCAATTTCTAATAAAAAGTGCGGCTTAAATGTAATGTAGGGGGCAAAATATATTTAAGCACGATCACTAGGTGATAAAACTGGTAACAGGTTTTGGGGTGGGGAGAAAACTAGATATCATTAATTCTGATATGCAAAGCCCATCAAGGGGGTAAAAATGAGTATCAGTGCAGTTTCAGGTACAAAATGATCCTAGGGTGGCTCTGATCTTGGCGCACCCAGTGTGAGACAGAGCAGAGGAAAGAGCAAGTTATCTAGCGTCAGAAGACCCAGGACCGAGTCCAGCAATTCCAGCCACTGGCTCTGTAACCTTAGACAAGCCCAAGGTCACGTCCTCAGCTGTAGAATGTGGTAACTACCCATAAAAATGCCTTCAAGAAAGTTGGGCTCAAATTAAATAATGGACATAGAAGTGCTTTATCAAACGCAAGGAGGAAAATAAAGGTTACTTGGACTTTCCTATTTTTAATCATACACATTGTCCATTTCATGTTTGCTAATTTCTGTGCTTCCGTCATCCTGATGTTGCCACCAAAGAGCAAGAAATGCCAATTTGGTTCACTTGGCCTGAATTACAGGACGATCTCTCTGACCTCCGCCTTACTGCTGTGACTCTCCTACTTCTCCCCTCTTGTTTGTACGAGTCTTCCCTTCCATTTCCGCTTCCGTTGCAGGGAGTCCGCACAGATTTCAACACCCTTGGCTTTTCAAGTTCATGTTTCTTCTCTTCCAGGAGGCAAAGGCTGGAAGGGAATCATGCCATCTCTCTGCTCTGAAAGTACCAAACTTCCTCTGCAAAGGAGTGATTTTTCTGACTAGCACAGAGAGCACAACATCGCTTCCTTTCCTCCATTGCTAGATTTATCAGTCTCCTTAGCTGAGATTTCTTCTTCTCCACTAAATGTAGAGGGAGGTGAGGGAGCAGAGAGATGGGCTGCACAAGGTGAGTTACACTTGGGCTCAGAAGAGCTTTTTAGGACTCATCCTGAGACAGGAAGTGATGAAATCGGCTCTCACATGAACCGAGAGGCGGTCATGTGAGCTCGCCCACTTGCTGTCTTGACTGGCTGAAGGGGAGGTCAGTGAGGGGAAAGCAGAGCTTGGGGAAGTAGGTCGTGGGACGAGGGAAGAAGAGGCTGAGGAGAGGCTGTGAGAAAGTCCCCATGCTGTCCCCTATCCCCCTCCCTCATCCCTCTGGGGCCGAGATTCAGCAAACTGCTTTACTTCTACTCTCAGTCCCTCATTGTGAAAGAGCTGAATTTAACTGTGTCTTCCTGGGCTCTTTGGTGCCGCCGACAATGCTACTATGAGAAAGTACAAATGACAGCCTGCTGGTTGTTCAGAGCCCACATACCAAATGGATGCTTCTAAAGTCACGCAGAGGAAGGTAGAGGAAGGGATGGATTATTAGGGATGTGGGCACCGGCTGTGCTCTGTCACCTTGGGCCAGCTTAGTGAGTCCTCTCACCATTATGGAGAGGTGGCAGGGCTAACTGGCTGCACAAGACAGAGAGGAAAGGGAGGGAAACATCAGAGAAGACTTTTTGTATAAAGAGATCCCTTCAGACCGGTCACATAGCCATGGGGCTATGGATGGATGGTGCCCCGTGGTGGTGGTGGTGGGGGGGCTCAGCAGGAAGCTGGAAGCCGGTATCAGACTGGGACCGAGGAGAGCAGGTGCCCCCCCCCCCCCGCTTGGTGCCCAGGTTCAGGCCCTTTGCTCACGTTATCGATACCACAAGACAAGTCACAAGTAAATGAAGCAGATGACAATCCAAGGTGGGGCAGCGTATGGTCTCGGGAAGGACTGAGGAAGAGTCTGGGCGGGGTCCGTACCGCGAACAAAGATGAACTCAAAGTGAGGTTGTATTTGGTGAATGTATTTTGCGCTGAGCCACACGTGAGGCGACAGCCCGGGTGCTGCTGACCACGGACACCAAACTCCCCAGGCACTTGAATTAGTTGTCCCACCAGTCGTACCCAGTGGTCACTGCTGGGAAAGAAACCCTGGACGGGGAGAGAAGAGCTTGCCCTGCAGGAGCTGTGCTGGCAACACTGGTTTGCTGGTGGCTTTGGTTATCCCAGGACCACGCCTGTCACGGGGGGTGGCCGTGGGGGGGTGGGGGAGGGGGGAAGAGCTCAGCTCCGTCCCAGCTGACAGGGAGCCAACTGAAGCCCCCCGGAACCTACAACTTGAACGTCACAGTCCATGACAAGCTCTGGGATAATCTTCCTTGCCACCTACGAATCTTTAGGAGGCACCTCTTGCCCCCCAAACTCATTTGTAAGCTAGAAAAAGTTACCTTTTTTAGTCATAGTAGTAATTTACCAAGTCAAAGAACAGGTACAGAGACCCTGAGTTGAACCTTAAGAAAACTCTGACTATGTCAAGATAAAGCTTCATAAAGTAAGCCAAGCAAAATCAAATAAAAAACTGACTGGGAGGCTCAGTCAGTTGAGTGTCTGACTTCGGCTCAGGTCATGATCTCGCAGTTCGTGGGTTCGAGCCCCGCGTCGGACTCTGTGCTGACAGCTCAGAGCCTGGAGCCTGCTTTGGATTATGTGTCTCCCTCTCTCTCTGCCTCTCCCCTGCTCATGCTTTGTCTCTCTCTCAAAAATAAAGAAACATCAAAAAAATACTCACGTGACAAAATAATATGTACTCTTCTCCAGGCAGGGTACATACCCTGAGGCGCATAATTTCTACATAACTGTAGACCCTGTATTATCCCATAGAACCGCAGGCACGGATCAGATCCTCAGTTGCTTTTGAACTCCAACCACTCAGGCCTCCAGACCAAATGTCCCACTTTTCCAAATCCCTGTCAGCTCCCTTCCCTCTCTGAGAAGCAGGTGCGGCACACCTTCACCATACCCTCAAGTGCCTCACCCCCTGCGGCTGCCTAAATCACTGCCCCTCCTTTATTGATGTCAAGTATGACGCAAGTTTATCAGCTTTTGCTTTCTCCATTTTCCGACTCCCTATCTGCACAGGACCTAGCGCTGCGTCATCCAGGTCAGCCTTCCTCTCGCTGCACAGCCGTGGTTTTCAAACTGCGGTCCTAGAACCTTGGAGTGCCACAGAGCCTCTCAGGGGCCAGAGTGCAGAGCTTGGAGAAAGGGTTACAAAGTCAGGGCTGCTGGACTCTTTCCCTCCCCCAGCTCTGCCACGGCAATCTTGCTTCTTTCCATATTAGACACGGGGGTTCCAGATCACCTCTGAATGTCCTACTCAGGTAAGGAATCCACTGCCAAGTTCAGGTAGAGGAGATGGGGCCTGAGCAGGGGACGTCATCGCACACTGTTACTGGAATGATGGGGACTGTCATCCCCAAGGTGACCTCAGCTTCTACCAACAGCTCTGATGTGCTTATATCCGCGCGAGTCTGTGATTAGGTCAGACCCCAACAACGTCTCCTTAAAGCAGGAATTACCATTCCCATTTGCTGGGTGAATAAACTAACCCGGAGAGGCAAAGGACTTCCTGGGTGGTTACGGCTATCGACCTAGAGCCACAACACACACGAGTCTTCAGGTGTTGAACCCCAGCTCTGCGTACAAGACTCTACTGTAGAACACGTAGACGCTCTCTTAACTTGAGGTACGTCACCAGCACACAAATTTATTCTTTTGACCTCAACCTCCCCAGAAGGCCTTATCAATTTCCCAACTTAAAGAGGGTCTGAGGGAAGAGAGAGGAGAAATGAAGATCAAAAAGGCCACCCTTACCTGGAACCTCTAGAAACCTCCTCTGCCACTTTAGGCTTTATCGCGCACAGCGCCCCCAGCATGAACTACCCATGGCCGGTATTCAGAAACCAAACAAGCGAATTACCGAACATGCCTCACAGACACAATGAAAGTATCAAAAGCCAGTAGCTGGCCTCATTCAAACGTGCGTTTCCCTGACACGCCAGGCACACTGCTGGGTGTTGGGGAACTTCCCTCTGCCCTCGGAGGACTTCAGGAAACATGTGATTCCAAACTAAACACATCTGCAACTTCTAGGCTCGTACTAGAAATACTGCAAATGAGTATTTCTTAGAATCCTAAAGTCACAGCCAACGAGAAGGATTAGAAGGGGGTAGATAAGGAACAGAATACAGTCCCTCTGTTTGCAAGAATACTAAGGACTTGGACATTTCTGTGCCTTACGTTGGTAACCGAAACACCACCAGGCATATTTAGAATGTGCTGGACACTTCCATCGCGTGGGACTGTGTCTCCAAAATACAAACCAAAGTGACAACTTCAGCTGCGTTTTTCTACAGCTGGTGTGCAGGGGAACACAAGTCTGAGAGGCTGACCTGTTTTAGGGCAGATAACACCCCAGCCAGAGCTTGGCACATGCACAGACGCCCTCGGTGTGACACCCCCATTATGGTCTCCAAGGAAGCGTGTTTTGAAAGGCCTTTTTCTCAGAACCGCTGCTGGGAAGGCTTCAGTGAAAACGCCTTCTCCCTGGCACATCGTGACCCGGAAGCAAGGAGGGCTGAGTGAATGTACGCACACCCTGGGTTTTTCATACTTCACCTGAGCCGAAAAGTCAATCAGCTTCGGAAGCAGGACTTTGCCCCCTTCGTCGCTCTTCAGGAAATCCAGCAAGCTGCCTGTTGATAGAGGGACACGTCAGGGTAGTTCAAACACACAAGACCAAATCCGAACACAAGTCCAACAATCGTTACTATTACTGGGGGAGGGGGGCAGATTGACTGCCTTTACAATTCGGCATGGCCACGGTGCCTTTCTCGTGAAGCTGGCTGTACCCAGTCCCCTCGAACCGGCTACCTTGGACCTGACGTGAAATGGACTGTGTGGTCCAGGTGAGGAAGGCTGACGGTGGACACTGTTTTTCTGGCTCCAGGTGTCTGAGAGCAACGCATTTCAGAGCCCTTTGCACCCGGCACCACGGCACACTCAGTGTAGCTGCCAAGTCTTCAGAGCTTCTCGGGGACAGACGCCCCCAAGCCCTCATTGCAGACCTGCCTGTAGCAGGCCCTGGGCTAGGCTCACTCTCATCGGTGTCCAGCCAAAGCGCAGAACTCGGCACACACTATGGGTGCTCACTGAGTGCATATGAACACACCGTGCTTTGTACCTAAAAGGAAGTTGGTCAGTAACCCTCCGCCCCTGCTTCCTATGGCTTCATCTCTAAAAGGAGACCTGCGTTCTCTCCTAGAACTGGAAGCGTCAACCCTACAAGCTATCGTCAGGGTCCTTGTGAGGACGGGTTTAAAGCACGTGCCATGGTGCTTAGCAGGCAGTAAGCGCTCAATAAATGTCCTGCTACTCCATCCTCGGCCAGAACTATGGTGCTCAGCCCTGAGATTGCTCAGGCTAAGTGAGATCACCCAGGGAAGGCATCAAGAACAACTGGTATACAGTAAGTACTCAATAAAGGCTAAGCATCATTATGTGGAGAAACACATATTTACATTTGTGATTCTGAATGCTACTGGCAGATGAATTCAACACATATTTACCCAACTCCTACAAAGTCTTATCCTGAGCCTGGTTTCTGGGTTATAGAAACCTAAGCCATGGGGACTAGGTATTTGGGTTTTGTTTTTAAATAACGTCATTTTTTGGAAGGACTCAGAGTGACTAATATTCCTTTCTATATACATATATATTTATTTTTGAGAGACAGAGAGAGACAGAGCATGCGTGGGGGAGGGGCAGAGAGAGAAGGAGACACAGAATCCAAAGCAGGCTCCAGGCTCTGAGCTGTCAGCACAGAGCCTGATGCAGGACTCGAACTCACAAACCACAAGATCGTGACCCGAGCCAAAGTTGGGATGCTTAACCAACTGAGCCACCCAGGCGTCCCAAAATGTTAATGTTTTAAAGTGACATCCTGAACATTTAGATAATGCTCAAGAGGAAAATGAACTCATTTTAGGATTTTAAGAATTCCCATTTTAAATATATAACAAAAATACTCTTATTTGAAATACGTATATATTTTTTACAAATATTTATTAGGGGCCTACTATGTATTGTGTGCTATTCTTGTGGCTAATATGTATATTATATGAAGACACATGCAGAGAAAATAGAAAGACTATACATTATTTCTATGATTCCAATAATACTTGAAATATTTCTGGCAGGGTAGTTTATAAGCATGCTTTGCTTTCCTACATTTTTTATTTTTCAGCAGTGAGCATGGTGTTTTAAAGTGTTTTTTTTTTAATGCTTATTTATTTTTGAGAGAGAGAGAGAGAGAGGCAGAGCACGAGCAGGGGAGGGTCAGAGAGAGAGGGAGACACAGAATCTGAGACAGGCTCCAGGCTCCGAGCTGTCAGCACAAAGCCCGACGTGGGGCTCGAACCCACAAACCACGAGATCATGACCTGAGCTGAAGTCGGACGCTTTAACCAACTGAGCCCTCCCAGGCGCCCCGAGAGCATGCTGGTTTAGAACTAAAGTTATCCGAACGTCCTGTGAACGTTTAAACGTTTCCCTCTTGGAGTGCTTCGGCTTTTACAAGCTCTGAGCTCGGGGGTGGTGCTCACCCTTGGCCATGTACTCGGTGATGATGTAGATGGGCTCCTCCCGGGTGACCACGGCGTAGAGCCGCACCAGCTTGTCATGCTGGAGGGTCTTCATGAGGTTCGCCTCCTCCAGGAACGCCTGCACAGACATCGTGCCTGGCTTCAGGGTCTTCACGGCCACTTTGGTGCTGTTGTTGTAGTAACCTGGAAAGAAAGCAGAAGAGAGGCCACATTTTATCACGCTGCAAACCAAAACCTCTACGCAGAGTTAAAAGGAAACGTCGCTATAGATAGAAGAAAACTTACACAAAAACTCTCTCCCAGGGTGAACGTTAGGGGGGTCTGGGTCAAGGGTGTATGAGAATTCTCTATACCATCTTTACCAAAGAAATCTAAAAGTATTCCAAAATCCAAAGTTTCCATAAAGCAATATTTTTTTAAAAAAAACCTCTATATGCGGGGGACCTGAGTGGCTCCGGCGGTGAAGTGTCCGACTCTTGATTAGGCTCAGGTAGGTCATGATCTCAGTCTTGCAGAACTGAGCCCTGCTTGGGATTCTCTCTCTCCCTCTCTCTCTGTCCCTCCCCCTCTCATGCTTTCTCTCTCTCTCAAAATAAATAAATATTTAAAAAATAAAATCTCAAAATAAATATTTTAAAAAATAACTTCTATATTCTATATGAACTCCATAATGGGGACTAAGATTTTTCTCTAATTAATAACGTGTTCTTTATTCAAGAACAACAACAGTAAACACACACACATACACACACACACAGGTCTGGAAGAAAACACACTAAAATATGCCAAACGTTGGCTCTCTCCAATTTGCAATTAGACTGATTTCAATTGTGTTTGCCATACCTTGAACTATCAAATTTTCTACAATGAGTATGTATTATTTTTGTAATCAGGAAAAAAAGACTTTAATTTTAAAAAGTTATTTATGTACACTGATTTAAAGCACAACGTGCTAGAGACAAATAAGCATTTCCCAAAGTTGTCAAAGAAGAGTGGACTTAGGTGACTGTGAGCAAATGCGTCTGTGCTGAAATGTCTGGGAACCGCGGCCCGCCACCACCCTCCCTTGCCCTCCTCCACCCTCCCCTGCCCAGGAGATGAAGCGAAAAGCAATGAGAGCCCTGCCTTGAGTAACCCTGTCTGAGCCTGGCTAACCTCCTGGCTTCCCACACTTGCTTGACCACGGGACACTTTTCACACCCCGTGGAATGTGCTCTGGGAAATACTAACTCCTTAACACAGTTTCCCTGAAGCTCTACTTTCCTGGAACCTGCCCCAGTGATGTGCTTAGTCCTGAGCTGGATTTTCTCCTGGGGCAGTCTTTTCTCAGGGGTTTGGCAAAGCAGGAATATGGATAATCACGTTCCCCTTTCCTTTCCTCTCTTTCCAGATTCCCCTGGGAAGTGCCAAGAAAAAAGGTGAGGGAGGAGTGGTAGCAGGTTACCACCCCAAATCTCCCTGCAGGCTCCCTGACCTGGGGTAGGACAGCCTTTTTTACCTGTGCTAAGAAACGGTGATGTACAGTGTCTGGTCTCTCTGTTCGGTCACATAATTATCTATATATGTCCTGGATACTGAGATGGCCAGCAGCACACTCAATAAAATATCAAGGAGGAATGGGCACCTGGGTGGCTCAGTTGGTTAAGCTTTCAACTTGGTTGGGGTCATGGAAACATAGTTTGTGAGTTCAAGCCCCACATCAGGCTCTGTGCTGACAGCTAGGGGCCTGGAGCCTGTTTTGGATTCCGTGTCTCCCTCTCTCTCTGCCGCTCCCCACTCGCACTCTGTCTCTCAAAAATAAATAAAAGTGTTTAAAAAATTAAAAAAACAAAATAAAAATAAAAAACAGTATCAACAAGGATGATCTCTGTGTGGTAGATTATGGAGTGACTTTTACTTCCTTTTGTTCTTTTCCATTTTAATTTTGTAAATGAATATGTGTGGGTTTTTTTTTTTTTTTTACAAAAGGAATTTAAAAAATTGTTTTTAATGTTTTATTTATTTCTGAGAGAGAGAGAGAGAGAGAGACAGCGTGAGCAGGGGAGGGTCAGAGAGAGAGGAAGACACAGAATGTGAAGCAGGCTCCAGGCTCTGAGCTGTCAGCACAGAGCCCAACGTGGGGCTCGAATCCACAAACTGTGAGACCATGACCTGAGCCAAAGTCAGACGCTCAACCGACTGAGCCACCCAGGTGCCCCAAAAAGGAATTATTTTTTAAAGGAAATTATGTCTCTCTTTCCACACCTCCAAATGGGCAAGAAAAAGTATCAGTTTACAGCTAACAGTCAACCATAGTTAATTTTCTTCTGATCATGAACATGAATCGCTCTACGAAAACTTTTCCTTTCATATTCCTCTTTGATTTGTATTTAATAGTAGCCTGCAGTGCTGTATGGAAAAATGAAAAATGCAATACATAAAGTAAAATATGAGGTCATTTTCAGAAGCTACAACTTTACAAAATAATAGAATCGTAAATACATTAAATTGACTTTCCATCTAAATGCATCACTACACACAATATGGCCTCTCTAAGAATGACAGCTCTTAAGAGTAAACTTAAAGAAAAATCCATCAACAAAAGTCCATTACAATTGCATCTGAATCAGGAAGATTTATTATCTCAAAACTACAATGACATATCACTTCGCTCCTGTCAGAATGGCCAAAATAAAAAATGTGAGAAAGAACAAGCGTTAGGGAAAACAAGTGTGGAGGAAAAGGAACTCTCACACACTGTTGGAGGGAATGCAAACTGGTGCAGCCACTGTGGCAGAAAGTATGGGGTTCCCCAAAAAGTGAAATACAGAACAACTCGATGATTCCGGAATTGCACTGCTGGGTATTTACCCCCAAAATACAAAAACACTAACTCAAAGGGATACATGCACTTCTGTGTTTACTGCAGCATTAATTACAATAGCCAAAGTATGGAAATAGCCCAAGTGTCCATCAGTAGATGAACAGATAAAGAAGATGTGGTGTGTGTGTTTGTATACACACACACACACACGCACACCCATAGTGGAATGTTACTCACCCACAAACAAAAACAAAATCTACCCATTTGCAATGACATGGATGGAGCTAGAGAGTACATTACTAAGCGAAATAAGTCAGAAAAAGGCAAATGCCATATGATCTCACTCATATTTTTGTAGAATTTAAGAAACAAAACAAACGAGCAAAGGAAAAAATAGAGAAAGAGACAAACCAAGAAGCAGACTTTTAACTACAGAGAATGAGCTGATGGTTATGAAAGGAGAGGGGAATGTCAGCTGGGTGAAATCGGGAATGGGGATTAAAGAGCACACTTTCCATGATAAAAATTTTTTAAATTAAAATAAAAATGAAGACTCATTATAAATTTGTTTAAATTTATACATCTATACATAATGAATATATCTAACAATGAATTCAGAAAAGTTGTAGGATATAAAGTTGATATTCAGAACTTTGTTGTATTTCTGTACGCTAATAATGAAGTAGCAGAAAGAGAAATTATGAAAACAATCACATTTACAAGTGTATCAAAAAGAATACATATTTGGAATAAATTTAACCAAGAAGGTAAAAGATCTATACTCTGAAAACTATAAAATGCTGATGAAAGAGATTGAAGATGACACAACTAATGGAAAGATGTACCATGGTCATGGATTAGAAGAATTGATATTACTAAAATGTCCTTATTTTTTTTAATGTTTTATTTATTTCCTAGAGAGAGACAGCATGAGCAGGGGAGGAGCAGAGAGAGAGGGAGATATAGACTCCGAAACAGGCTCCAGGCTCTGAGCTGTCAGCACAGAGCCTGATGCGAGGCTTGAACCCACGAACCATGAAATAATGACCTGAACCGAAGTCAGACGCTTAACTGACTGAGCCATCCAGGTGCCCCTAAAATGTCCTTAGTATGCAAAGCAATCTACAGATTCAATGAAATCCCTATCAAAATGCCAACAGCATTTTTTACAGAACTAGAACAAATAATTCTAAAATTTGTATGGAACCACAAAATACCCTGAATAGCCAAAACAATCTTGAGGAACAACAAAGGGGATTTCAATCAGATTTCACCATATAGTACAAAGCCACAGTAATCAAAATGGGATGGTATTGGCACAAAAATAGACACATAGATTGATGAAATGGAAGAGAAAGCCCAGAAGTAAAGTCATACTTACATAATGTCAATTAATCTATGATAAAGAGGGCAAGAATATACAATGGAGAAAAGATAGTTTTTACGAGAAATGGTGTCAGGAAAATTGGACAGCTACATGCAAAAGAATGAAATTGGGCCACTTTCTTACACCATTAACAACAACAACAACAACCTCAAAATAGATTAAAGACTTAAATATAAGACCTGAACTATAAACCTAAAAGAAAACATAAGCAGTATTCTCTTGAATGTCAGTCTTCACAACACATTTATGAATACATCTTCTCAGGGAAGGAAAACAAAAGCAAAACTAAACTACTGGGACTACATAAAAATAAACAGTTCCTCCACAGCAAAGGAAACCAACAAAATGAAAAGACAGCCTACTGAATGCGAAGAGGGATTTGCAAATGATACATCCAATCCGGGGTTAATATCCAAATATATAAGGAACTTATACAAGTCAGCACCAGAAAAACCAAATAATCTGATTAAAAATGGGCAGGGGACCTGAACAGTCTTTTTTTCCAAAGAAGACTTACAGATGGCCAACAGATATATGAAAAGATGTTCAACATCGCTAATCATCAGGGAAATGCAAATAAAGCCCCAATGAGATCTCACATCACACCTGTAGGAATGGATAGTACCAAGAAGACAAGAAATCACAAGTGTTGGTAAGGATGTGGAGAAAAAGGAACCCTCATGTGCTGTTGATAGGAATGTAAACTGGTACAGACACTGTGGAAAAAGTGTGGAGTTTCTTGGGGTGCCTGGGTGGCTCAGTTCATTAAACATCTGACTTTGGCTCAGGTCATGATCTCCCAGTTCATGAATTTGAGCCCCACGTCAGGCTCTGTGCTGACAGCTCAGAGCCCGGAGCCTGCTTCAGGTTCTGTGTTCTTCCTCTCTCTCTCTGCCCCTCCCCTGTTTACACTCTGTCTTTCTTTCTCTCAAAAACAAACAATAAAAAATTTCTAAATAGTATGGAGTTGCCTAAAAAAATTAAAAATTGAAA